ACCAAGAGTGGGAAGAGTTTGTTATCTGGTACAGAACGATTAAACGGGTGGTCAGAATGAAACGAACTTTTCGTCATATTACATCGATTCATTAAATATAAATATAACTCGACAAGCACCGTAAACTTTCTAAACAAAAATTATGCGATTTGAATTCTTTATACACTTTGACATTTTATCGGTTCCGAAGTTTTGAGTATGGAAAGGTTTGCTGGGAAATTTTTTAAACATGGCGGCTGTTCGAGAGTTATGAACTTCAGTACTGTAATCACTTATGCTGGGACGAGTATAAAGTTGAACACTCTTAGAGTTGAATGTAAATTATGTTTCGATATTTGTCAAGTTTCATGCTGAAGTACCAAAAAGTATGAACTCGTCATTTACAATGAAATTGTGACAATTTGGAAAATTCGTAGAACCCCAAAGTCTCGTTTACCGACCACTGACAATAGTAATCGTGAACATTAATTCGAGATATTGAGATCAAATACAATCGATAAGAAATCCCCCAGCTAACCGTGGAATCGATAAGCTTCCGCTTTCGTGCACTTCGAGAAGTGAGAAAGTTCTATCGAATGAAAGATTTTGACGATGAGTATAACATAGTAAACAGGATGTCTGAAGAACTATAAAAAGAATGTTGGATCACTGACCGGGTCAATGTTTTGAACAAAACTCCATCAACAGTAAAAAAGGAATGAAATTAAAAAGTTTTCGATACACGTTCCTCGATCCGGATCCTCCGCAATCTCCCGAGTATCTTTCAATATTCTAGACCAAACAATTTCTTCGTTTTTTCTTACCCGAACGGAATATTTCGTATGAATAAAATAATTGTTATCTGAACACGCTGATAACGTAATTATGCGAGTACATATTTTTCCGTATGTTAGAACAATCGATTCGTTAATAGGTCCACGCGATATCGCGTACGTTCGTGAGGAAATTGAAAATCGTTTAAAATCACTTATAGCTTTGAGTGTTCAAACGACATTGATTTAATTACGTTATCGACTAAAAACTAATACGGTCATTTATTACCAATCGGAAGTGTTTCATTAGGATTTTAAAGTAAGTCAGATGTTCATTAGTTTATGAAAAGATTTCTCTTACGCAACGGAAAAAAGTGTAAACGTAGTAACGTGCGTCGTTTTAAATTATTATTACCCCTCGTCGACCATCATTCTTTTATGAAACCAAAATTTATGTAATTTACTAATACCGTTCCACGGTCAGACTTAATGCACGCGGTGCCCTAAGGCGAATGTGTCGGCTATGACTTTCGAAACGATAGAAATTTACATTTAAGTGTTGTACCTTCTCCCTTCAGTATTTTTAAAATACTCTAACAAAAAGAAATTCATTAAATTTTGTTAGAATATTTATAAACCTTCGCGGATAATTTTCAAATTACATTAAAGTTTTTAATACCAAGTATTCGAAACAAAAAATAATAATGAAAAAGCTGGTTGCATCAATTTCTTTTTTATCATGGTGCAATTTCCTCGAACGATAATTATCTTAATGCATTCTACCATATAGTCATAGTGCATTTGTAGGTTAATTAAAAACAAAAAAAAAGAAACATAAAAACCAGTTCGAAATTGCAGCATAGAAATTGAAATTATAGGAGTTACAACAACAACAAATTATTATTAAAGTTTAATAGTTAATAGTTTTGAATTAACAAAGTCGAACAGCAATGTATTCCGTCGATTTGAATTTCGTTATCAAAACAGCCCGACAGAGTTAATGCACGTACACGTGACCGGATCGAAAAGCTTTGATCGAGTGTTAACGAACAAATGTAAAGCAACGTATATTGATAATAAGTACCATTGGCGGCGACCGGTTGTTCCACGTAAGAAGAATTAAATCGTTTCCACTGGTTCGCGTATTTTTAAACGCATTACGTCGATTATTTAACAAATCCACTGGTCGAACGCCATTTGCGTGTGACACGCGCAGGCGGGCAAAACAGAGTTGCGCACGCGCATGCGCAACGTCAGCGCACGCCGGTAAGTCTGAACAGCGAGGAAGCAATCGCGGTACTGTCGCGCCGACCGTTGCCGAGTCTCGACGTGCCTTTGAACGTCGCATGTGTGGGAACGATGCCACTCTGTTTTCCGTCTATACTGTCCGTATACATGACAGATCGACGTACGAGTGTGTTAAAAAACCACCACAAGTGTGTCGTTGCGTGTGCACAGCAGAGGACGTCACGTACGTCATGTGTAAATGTCAATTGAGCAGGTTCTAATATTGAACTCATGTATTTGTGTATGGATTTGTATGTCGCTTCGAGAGTAATGTTTACGTTTGTACCTGTTTGCATTTAAGGTTATGTCAGCCCGCTTATGAATTAAATGCACGTAATCGCCGAAACCTAATCCTCTTAACTATTACAACAGCCTCGCACATTTGCGTTATTTATGTATTTTTAATTTGTACAAGTATATTTTTATACTTATGTGCATATCGAGAAGATTGCAGGAAATAAAAAATAAATTATGTAAAACATGCATGTCAAATAGTTTATCTGTTAAAAATATTTTTACATTTAATATTAACCCCACTTAACCTAACCCCGTCATATACAATGTCTATAACATTCGTTTTAAATAAATTTGTTATGTCTACAATATGTATTTTCTTAAAGAAAGACCTATTTTCCATTTTAATTCTCTGTCTAATTACTTGTCCATTCATTTGCATGTAATTTTACTGCTATACGTATTTTTGCCACCCTGCTTTCGACGACTATACATAAGTGTTGAAAAAAATCGAGCAAAAACTAGAGTCGTCTACCTTGAGTTAAATGGATGATTATTCACTTTTTTCTGCTTCTCACACTCAGAACGACAAAACATATTGCATTGTATAATATTTCTTAAAATAGAATAATTAAATTAATTTTTATTTTTTTTCCTACAATTTTTATATAACCTTGTAAACTTCAAGCAAATAAATGTACAGACGGTTAATATACACAGCTCCATATATATATTCTTTATAAAATGGCTTTTTAAATTCTTGTTTATAGAAATAAGAAACAACGTATGTTTCAGCTTAAATAAACAAAAACTATTCTAAGATGTTCGCGCGTTTTTACACTCGGCGTCTGCGCAATCACTGAACGTGACATGTGATTACAAATAATATAAAGATTATAGCATTTTTTTCTAGCAAAAGAAAATAAATTCACATCATCGCAGAGAAATTAACCGAAGGTTACATAAACTAAAAACAAGCTTTACTTTTGTACGTCTTTTTAACATCAACTTTTGAAAACAGTACTTTTGGCGCCATCTAGTGGCGGTTGGTGGAACTAACCGGTATTGACAAGTTCTGAAGTATGTCACATGCGGCATCATCGGTTGAGAGAATAAAACAATAGCGCTATTGAGTAATAAGAATTTAGAAAAAAGAAAATTTAATGTTTTGTTAGTTTGGTAATTTGCCACAAGAGGACGTCAGTTGTGCAGTTTTCCATGAAAGCGGTAACATGAAACTTGTACAGCATACGTTTTGTCATATTTATTACACAATAACCTAATATTCCCATTATACAACTTTAATTGCAATAAAATTTAAATGGAAAGAAAATGTGTTCTTAATTTTCCAAATTTTTCTCTAATTAAAGTTTGATTATTTCAGGAAGCTGCAACAGAAAGATTATCCCCAAAATCCCCAAAATAATTGAAAAATATATTTTAGTGAAAATGGTGTGAAATTTTCACTCAAAATTATTTAACACTTGAACCGATCTATTTCAGGAAGCATCAGGGTCTGTATTACTTCAGCGACTAAAATATACATTTGTGCGTAAACTTGCTATAATCTAACGTATTAAATAGTTTCTTCGTTTTTTAACGTCTTGAACGTTTCCTGTATGACGCATGGTTTTAATGAAAACAAGCAGCACGTGAACTAATGAATATTTAAATTCAAAGTTGACTCAGGATGCAATTGTGGTTCATTGACTTCATTTTTCTTTTAAAATACTGTGCAAACGAAATGACGTGGTTAGAAAAATTATTTTATAATTTTAACAATTGAGTTTATTTTAAAAATTAAATTCGAAAATTATTATCACCCTGTTTTTCTTCACAGTTATTACTATCACAAAAAAAAAGTTGGACAGAACAATTTTTTAAGCTTCACGTTAAGAATTTAAGCTCATAATAGAAAATGAAAATAGAGAATTCAAATTGCGCGCGTAAAATCGATAAAATCGAGGATTGAACCTAACCTACTCTCTCCCCACTCCTCGACTCTAACAAGAATCGATGCTTCCTTATCGACTGTACGCTCAGTCTCCTAAGCGGTCTCAAGCACTGCAGTTTTCGTGTTACATTGTGACGCGTTGTGTCGCAATAACATCCCGAATCCTCCTCCTGATTAAAAGAGTGTGAAGGAAGTAGTTTTTTAGCTCGAAATCTTTCCGAACACGATCTATTCGTCGGTACGTTCGCACCTGTGCCATGTAAAACCACAAAAAACGCGTGTGCTGTTAACTGATGGACGATTTCGACCGAGAAAGTCTTTAACTTTCAGTAGCCTTCCGGTTTCTCTTCCCGTAGCGGTATTCGTGCCTTTTTCTTGAATTCAGTGCAGATATGCGTTAAGTGCGATCTGTTAAGCTGTCGGGAGTTTTATTTGAAAGAAACTATCCTCTTTCGATGATGGATTAAAGGCAACGTGTTCCAATTGTCAATCTCAGGTGAGTCCACTTGTTCCGTATCGATAAAGCGTCTTTTTATAGGCGAGTGATATCGAGTGTGACTGATTATATGCAATATTTAATTAATTATGTATAATATTCATGTATCGAATTTACTGTCAATGATCAGGATCGGCAATTAGAAAATGGGAATAAATGGAACCGGTAATCCTCGCAGAAAAGAAAGTACAATACATTTAAGAAGTGATCACGTAAATATTCACAAGAAGGATAATACTAGTTATGTTACATAAACCTATACAGGTATCGTCAAATTATATTCACGACGATGTCATTTTTTTAAGTAATATATTTTAACAAGTGTTTTGAAAGTGAATAACAAAAGTGAACTGATAAAGACATTGATAAAATTAAGAAAAGGTTAAGCTTGTAAATGGACCTTCATTATAAATGATTGAAACGTGGTTCACTAATGAAGGGAAACTATCAGTAGGAAACTATCAAGTGGAAATGGTACATGGACCAATCTGTTCCTGAAATTATAAAAATTAAAAATATATATTTACTGCCTGAAATAGATTTATCAGGTGCAGATACCGCTTGTCAAAAAACGAAAACATTTCGAGAGGTTTTATAAATAAAGGCCTTGAAAGTATCGCAATATGGAAACATGAAAAATGTTTTAACATATCTAATCAATTGCTAACAATAATTAACACGTACATTTTCCTTATTTTATGAAACAAAATTTCCGCAAAGAATAGTACGTAAATTTGAACATTTCGTGTTTAATATTGAATTTAAATAATTGAATGTTGTTTAATATAAGAGGAATAACAGATGGTCACGTGAATAGCGTAAACACGTGAAACGTCAATGCAGTATTCGTTTACCACCCCTTGAATTGATGAGCGTTCAATCGCTTCACTGACAGCTATTTATGATTAGAAATATTCAAAATAAATGACAAACGTAAAATTGTCCTTGGATCTTGCAACACGCGTCACTGATTTGTTTAAGACTTTAATGGCCGATGTCACGTATTCTCGATTTTGTTACGTGAATTTTTATATTGTTATTCGCCGCGTATGAATTATGCTTCGAAAGAAGATAATTTCGTGAGGTATGGTACAGAAACTGTCAAATGTAAATCTTCGTATCGATAGTCTCGCTTTAGCACGTAAGATTACGGGAGTCGTAAATCCTCGTAAATAATGCAATCGTCAAGTTTTTTGCGTGGAAAGCTCCAGGTTGGTACGCATGGAAACTTGCAAGTTTCCATTGGACTGCGTTAACACGTGGTCAAAGTAACGGTTAGACACGTAGAACTCGTGCTTCGTATATTACATCAGCATCGAGGCGTTTGATAACACAACTGTAGCCTTGACATTATTTGACAGAAAATATTTATTTAAATTATCTAACATTTTATATGTCAGTTCTTTGAAAATATTATTTTCCTAGATGAGTGACAATATTTTAATTTGATTATAACTCTTAGTACTTTATTCATTCATAGGTACATTTTCTTGCAAATTGCCTGATGCGTTACTTCAGTGGAAAATCATTTTATCTGAACAATAATGATAAGACGTAATCAATTTGATCAAAATGTAAACTTTAATATACTGTAAGTGACATTTTGAGATATTTCTATCAAATATATTCTTCAATATAGAAGTGTTTACTACAGCAGCAATCTTGCACTGAGAATGGCAATGAAACGTTTATGTAATCAATTTCAAATTGATATGTGATAAATGTTTTATGTTATGAAATCATGTCAGGCTTTCTAAGTTTCTATATTTGATATGTATCAAACGTTTATGCAATAATTTTCATTGAGTTCCAGCTTCGAATTGATGTGACACAATATATTATGACAAGTCTATGTCACAAAATCATAATTCAAAATTGATCTGATATGATATAATCGAACGTTAAATCATCGAGTTCACTTCTGTTGACTTGGTACCACGTGCTACACGTTATAGTCATTTTCAAGTTACTGAATACATAAATCGGTTGGTATTACAGCAGTGTAACGGAAATGTCGATGTCCGTTGGTGGCGCTAACGGAAAATTACGATTACCGATAGCCGGCATACCAATGAACGCATTAACCCTTTCAGTAACCAAATATCCCATTGAACTTGTTTGCTCTTCATAAAAATTCAATTCTTGATAGTTTCCTTTTTAACACGAGAGCCATTTTGACTCGACAACAGATCAAATGTAAACTGTTAAGAAAAGGTGAGCAACTATATATTTAACCCTGCAAACTTGCAAGTTCTTGACCAACCTCACACGTTTCTGCGTTATTTATAACTTATTTACTTTTCTCCAATTATAGCCGTCTCCGGCAACCATACTCTAATAATAGGTTGAAAAGGTTAACGAAATACCATCATAAGAAGCAGTATGTATTTTAGTGAAAACTAGTCATAAATTAGGTATAAAAATTTAAATTTATTTTACCATAAAAAGTGTGCAGTCTTTTTGAATGTCCCTGTAGGATTGCAGGTATCAGTTCGCGTTCTCGAATGATCGATTTATGTACGTATTATGTTTCCAGGAGCAGGAACAAGGCCAAGGCAAAGATGCCGATAGAATTTTTGGATCGACTTCCAATCCCGAATCTTCGGGTTTACACGGCAATCAGTTTCGCCGTGCTTTCATGTTCGGTTTACTATGCGGCCGAAATCATCAAGGACCCAGCGTGGAAAAGTAATCACACGTATGTGGAGACCGAAAATGAATCGCCCGCGGGCGACGTCGAATCGAATCCAAGAAATTTCGTGATACATTTCAAGGAGCTACTCGAATGCATGCTCGACGAACCCATATGCATCTGGGTAAGCGATACGAATTATGTGGATCGTTCTTGCGGCGTGAACCAGTAATAGGCCAGACTTTCCCTGGGCTCTCTCTTCTACGATAAATCAAGATTAAACGTACCATCGTCATGCATATATTATCTACCATGATGTTACAGTAAATCTCGAAACTTATGCAACGCGAAACGTTGCAAAATTACATAGTTGCTTTTTGAGTCATTATTTTTTACTATTCGAACAACATGTCTTATTACGTCACGACAATGTTTTAGGATGACTTAATAACCTACCCTAACCTTGATTTTAAAATGACCGCGAAATCTCGATTTACATTTTAAAAACGTTTTACAAAAAAAATATACACACGAGCTACGACTTTTGGAACGACCCAAGTATTTTTGCATACTGTTAGTATTGTTTAAGGAACGGGACTGTTCAAACGTTAGCTTGAACTAAAATTAACTTTCTTTCGGGACGTTTGGCAGTCGTTAACATTGTTGGTGCGCGATTTAACATTGCTCGACATCTATTACTTCCTACTTCGTCTGCCAAAGAGGAAAAGTGTCTGTTTTGTAGTGTGTTCAAGGTGACTGATAAACGGCTGAGACAAATGCTTGACTCTTTGAATAAATTCCATTTGTTTCATTGGGTATGGTTTATACTTAAACGGATAAAATAATGAAAACACTTGTATCTTGTGTTGCATATTCGGGGCGATACAGCGCGGTTCAAACTTGGAACGAGAGTGTCCTTAAATGTCCCTAGGTCTTTAATAAATTTCCAGTAATTTTCCTAGACTAAATTATTTTTTTTTGTAGACATTTTTTTAAATTTATATTTTAAATTATTTCCTCAAAAAACTTTCAACCAGATTTAATGTATTTCAAGTTCAGATGAATTTCATGACCTAAGACCTCAGATTTGTTTATTTAACTTCGTGATAATTAATAATGTTCTTTTTTTTATAGACTCTGATCAACATGGCGTATTGCGTGTTGATCTTGCTAGGCAAAACGATCCAGAAGCTGGTGTTTGGAGAATTGCGTGCTTCCGAGAGACAGCACCTGAAGGACAAATTTTGGAATTTCGTCTTTTACAAATTTATCTTCGTATTCGGTGTGCTGAACGTACAGTACATGGACGAGGTGGTTCTATGGTGGGCTTGGTTCACTGTGCTTGGCTTCCTAAGTCTGCTCAGCCAGCTTTGCAAGGATCGATTTGAATACGTAAGTAGCATCATTATGCAATCGTTAATCCATGATTAGTCGATAAAACGATGGCCACAAAATTTTTAGTGATCGCATTTGAAACGGACGGATCAGGGATTCATATCATAAACTTATGCTCTTTGTTCATTTATCATCGGCTCTTCATTTGCCTGGTTGTGTCAGCTACAAAATATGCAAACCGGAGCTGAAAACGAGGAAACTTGCCGGATAAACCTATGGAACACGCTTACAGGAACTGATTAGCTGTTCAATGATTTTTTACATATTGACGGATTGAGTCAATAACATTAATTATTTCCGTTATTTATAGAAACGTGAAAAGGTACTCACGGCAGTTACATAAGTTGCACGCAAGATTAAAAAATCTTATTATGTACCATTAAACGGCGGGAAGTGGTATATCATGCAATCCACATGTCAGTTCTGCAAATGCTGGTGTTTTGTCAAGATCATTTATTAAATGAAACTGCATATATTTTTCTGCACGAACCTGCTTTAAAAAATATTAGGGTTCAAAAGTCCCGCCAGGTGTCTTCAAATTTGAAACACCCTGTAGAATATACTTTCACTCTGCTTTCACTCGTAGAACATTTTTACCCGTAAACTGTGGGAAAAAAAATTGAACTTCTGACACCTGACATGAACTTGACCAAGAAACATACTTTCCTAATATAAATAATTCCACGTGTATCCGCCTACATCTATCAAACACTCTCACGGCAGACCTTGCGTTTGATACATTCGCACCGATGGACATTATCGAATATCTTAACATATTTTATAATCTCGAATTTGGGACGGATGAGTCGCCGCAGTTGGCACGGCTCCTCGTACAGAACAGGAACGAAGAAGCGTTACGAAATCGCTAGCTTTTTTATTGTCTCGTCAAACACGCGGCAACGCACATTATCTTTTATTCACGATTGTCGCATACCCCTGAATCAATGGCGCTTATTTATTTAACTAAGTTGAACATAGACCGTCTTCGATCCACGCTAAGTTCTGAACGCGTTAAATTCCTTTAGCCAATGACCAGCACACAATGTGGTATTCTGGCAATCTAACTCGGCAGCACCGTGTTGACTTATCCTTCTGAAATCAACGTCTTCTCAACAAACTGTTTATGTTACAACTTAAACATAGTAACAAGATCGTGATCTTGACATTTTGCCAACATTGTAGGTGGTTTCATAAAGAATTGAAAAATACTTTAATACTGTAAATCGTAAAGCATTGATTTGATGTTATAAAATCTTAAAACCTGTAAGCTATAAAGCCTCGAACCTTGTAGACTTAAACCGTGAGTCAATACTAGTCGTGAGTGAAGTTATACAATAATAAATTTATTGCGCAGACTAAAAAAAATGACATACAAGAGCTAAGCTAAAGAAAATCGAGCGTCGTGTAACTCAGAGAGACGTAACCTGGTTACCTTTATTCAATTACACTAACGGGATTCATGCGAATTCATTGCATAACAACGTCACGAAATACTTTGTTTTTATTTTAAAGACATTATGCATTTAGATCTGAAAAATCAAATTAAAAATTGTATGTATTCTGTTTCTGGAATCACATGCCTAATGACTTGATCTACTTTTGGAAAGATTTATGATATGAATCTTGCAACCAAGGGAATTTTCCTTTTTTTAGAAGTTAAGATCTAACAATTTCATGCTGATGTTTCATTGTAACATTGACTTCATTATTTTGTAGTTATCTTTCTCACCGACAACCCCTGGATGGAGTCATGCAAGACTTTTGGGACTTCTTGCTACAATTCTTGCGTTGTCCTCCTTTATGTTGCTACTGTGCACAGCTGCAGCATTCTTCTTCGTCTCATTCAATACTTTTGTCTTTACTGCAGCTGAGGTAATTTATGTCCTTATTAATTAAACAATTTAAATTCTAGTTGTTACTTTTTTGTCTCAGTATGTTACTGAACAATAAGTACAATGCTTTACATAAAGTCTTTTTAATTTGAATGCAATTACATACATACTTTAAATATAAATACTAACTAAATATTGTACAAAGATGGTTTTAATCTTGTTGTATTATTCACAGTGCATCCTGCTAGGTGTCAGAACAGTTCATGTCATGGTGAGATACATAATTCATTTGTATGACACTAGAGGAGCAGGTACTTCTTCACAACGTTCTTGGGATAAGAGAGGCCCTTTGACATACTATACAGACTTAGCTGCAGAGCTAGTAGTTCTTGCTATAGATTTCTTCCATCACGTTCATATGTTGCTTTGGAGTAACATCTTCTTAAGTATGGCCTCCCTTGTAATTTGTATGCAACTTAGGTACCTTTTCTACGAAATACAACGCAAAATTACGAAACACAGGAACTATCTAGCTGTGCTAAACCACATGGAACAAAAGTAAGCATTTATTTTTTATTTGTATGATTGAAGTAAACGAATGCCATATAATATTTCTTACAGTTATCCAATGGCAACGCAAGAGGAGCTAGCAGATAACTCTGACAACTGCGCAATTTGTTGGGAGAAAATGGAAACTGCTCGAAAATTACCTTGTGGTCATCTATTCCACAATTCTTGTTTACAATCCTGGCTGGAGCAAGACACATCTTGCCCAACTTGTAGACTTGCTCTGAATATGCAACCGAATCACCGTGAGAGTACACAAGAGTTACCGACTGAACCACAAACACCAGTCAGGAGAAATGAAAACCATTTCTTTCATTTCGATGGTTCACGTTATGTTTCTTGGTTGCCGAGCTTTTCTGTCGAAGTCTCTCACAATAGGCTGCGCGGGAATATTTCTACCATTGCACATAACAACTCACAAATGGATACCATGATTAGACAGGTAATAATAATAATAAAAAAACATTACAGTCTTTTATACGTAATGTACCATATAAATGAAAGGTTAAGCTCAAACAAGTAGAATTACGCAAGAAAATAATTACTATTGTTTATCATTGAAATAGGTACAACAGTTATTTCCACATTTCCCACGTAATCTAATCGTAGAAGACCTCAGGATGACAAGATCAGTAGAATGGACTGTTGAGAACATTCTTGATGGAGTGCTAATATCGCCTCATCATTTAATCGAAGAACCACAATCAGAATCCGTCCCACAAATCCATACCAATATCACTGAGATTAGTGCATCTTTAAATACCGCCTCGACACCGCTACCATCGGATCCAAGATTCGACATTCCTCTTGCCGATAGGTAATTCTTTATTTTTCTTATAATTCTGAGTTTATACGATTCATGTAATCTACAGTGATTCCATAATAAATTATTACAGCGGTGAAGAGCCTTCCAACATAGGAGGACGATTTTCAAAATCTTCATCTGAAAGAGAACAAATATTGCAGCGTCGCAAAGCACATATGATATTCGCTGCAAGGAAGAGATATTTTGAAAAACGTCGAAAAAAACAAGAAACCGAGAAACGCGTTTCTGATGTCACCTCTTAAAATAGGAAAACAGAAAAATACATGTCGATAAAAATTTTGATTTTTCATGCTTCGTAGCGGCCATCTTCTTTAAAGAAGAATATACGACTGATTTTTGTTGGGGTGGGAGGGGGGGATTATACACGTTCACCAACAACCACTTATTACATTTTTTTTTCTTTTATTTTACTTTTGTATCCTACTTCTTCATGTTGCTTTTGAGAAAAGTATGTTCTTTATTATGTGTGTTTGTTCCTAAGAATTTTTCAGTGATCTTAATCTTCATCCCACTTAAAGAAGGTAATTTTTGGATATATAATTTTTTTAAAATCCTTTCTTGATTTTCATAGAAGTTATTTCACTTTGTATTCTCATAGATATCTGTCTTTTTAATTGTAATGTTAACTCGTTTAAGATCCTCTTTTGTTCAATTTTTAGAAACAGTTTTCTTGAATATTTTCATTTCTTTTTTATTATTTTCTTTTGGATAAATATTTTTCTTAAGAATACATATACACATTTTATTCTTAAGAAAATTAAGGACAATTAACTTAAAAAGTATTAACAGTATAATTCCTTATTAAAAATAATAAGAAGAATTAACTTAAAAGTATTACTCGCTTAATTATTCTTTATTTATTAAAATAATTATTAAGAAACACGATCTTTGAAAGTCTTGTGTTTCATGCAAAATACGTTTTCCTATTATTCAATTTTAGGTTGCAAAACAAAGTCCTTGGATATTTGTTAAAACATAATCTTTTTAACAAAGTTGTACTAATTTCAAGGAAGAGTTACTTAGCAATTTTTTTATTTTCATTTTCTTTAAAAAATAGGTTTTCTTGGAAATCTTGATTTTCTATTCGTAAGAAAATTAATTTTTCTTAAGAATAGAAGATTCTTGCAATTAATATTGACTGGTTGTGAATCATATACTCATTGGTGGATTAGAGGACTGCTATAATAATAAGAATTTATTGTTGAATATAATATCTCCTTTTTCATTTTTTTCCAATTAAATAAAGAATGAAAACATTTAGCATTTGAATAGTGAACGATTACTACAGTTTTTGTTATTAATTTTATTTTAATGTTTAATTTTAGAGGTAATATATATAATTGTGAGTAAATATTGAAATTGTTGGAGAAAGTAATGTTTAAAATATGAACATCTACAAATTAAATATTCTTTAATAGAACCTAATCAGTAAAGTTTTGCCCTTTTTTCTTAATTAGTATTTTAACATTTATTACAAGTTCTGCCAGAATATTTCTTAGGAATGTTTATTTGCCACGAAAAGCACTATTTTTGATTATGTCTAAATGTTAATAAAATATAAAATTAAGTGATGTTTCGCATATAAAAAATACTCAAAATAGAATATGTAAAATAAAAAAATTCCTTTCATGGAGTATTTTTTTCTTAAATACCCTTTGCTATCTTTTGCTTGGAACCATATAACTGAAAAGGATATACATTATTATATGAACATAAAGTTTCAAATTTAGTATTCGCAAACATTTGATATAGAATATTTTAATACAAAACTTGTAATTTATGAACATTCTTTATTAAAGATAATATTTTAACAACGCATAGAATGATAGAGATGAGAAAAACATCATAGTTATAATTTATTTAACTGTATTATATCCATTGTAAAATTGTACTTTGCATAAATAAAAGTAAAATTTGTTTTATGCCTTGACAGATTTCTTATCACATTCTGACAGTCGTGTTAATAACAGGTTTGAATGTAATAATGTTATAGTTGCAATATTTTATTAAACATTTGTACAAATAAAATATTATCAATTCAACCAATGAAGTTCATTACGACAAGATGTAGTATCACGTGAGCAAAAATAAAATCTGCAAATCCTCTCTCAGGGCTTATTCCGTAAAACTGATTTTTGTTTTGAGGGTTCACTTGTAGTCGCAAGCAAACTGAAACAAACACATTAAAAATATTGTATAGAATGCATAATAATAAAGTTCTAAACTGAGAAGAATAAATGCAGTAAATAATACAATTGTCTAACATATTGATAAAAATGTTAAGATTATAATATTACGATACATGAAATATTAGATATATCATAAGACAAAAATGAATAAAGATAATTATTTACAATACCTCCAAGAACGAAGCACGAAACACAAGAAATAAATCCGCTAAGAAAACTGTTAAAAGGAAACGTGCCGACAAGACAACAATATATGAATTGTATAACACCGGTGAGAAACACATAAAGTAGATAAGCATCTATTATTTTAAGCCTCTTCGGTGTAACTTTCGTGTACTCTTGCCAAAACTTTCCTATAACCGTTAATGCAGTCATTTTTCAACTCTTATTGACGTTTCTTTTTAGGTTAAATTAAGTTTCGATGCTAGTACGCGTGGCACCGGCAGCGTTCTGATCAACATCATCGATACGTAAATATACTAATCGATATATGTCGGTAATTCGCAGTAATCGATAGTATCGAACAATCGCGTTTGTTCGAATCGATAAATGGATCATTGGGATTTTGAAAATTCAAAAATGCAGGAATCTCATAATTTGGTAATTTGTAGAAGAATTAAGTTAAGGATATGGTTAGAAATAATTAATAACTTATAACCACTTATAAATATATATAATAATGTGTAATTTATTTATTAATTATTTTAAATAATAATAATTTGTATAAAAACATTAATGACTATCCATAAATTGAATATCTGAAAGTAATAAAACTGTATTTGGCAGTGGCCTAGGTTGCGGACTTAGCACTGTAAATGTTTGTCTCTCTACATCAACATTGGTTCTGTAAAAAATAAATATTTTTCATTAAATAGTTATCATCAAACAAGTTTGTCTTAAAATTTTATTTTACATACACGCAAACAAATCCAGCCACATTAGTTTGTACTACATCATCTTCTGGTGAATCAGCAAATGAGACTGACAGTAAATGATGCAAAAGATTTGGTCCCGGTGTAACAGCTACCAGTTTTGTTAAATTATCTTCTGCTTTCATTCCAAGTGGCATACAGGATGCGGGTAATACTGGAGCACCAATTTTGTACAATCTAGCTTCACTCCATTTCACTTCAAAACTATGAGGATATAATGGTGTTCTGGATCCATAAAAATATTCCCTAACACCTTGATCTCTAGCTTCTACTCTCTGTGCTTGACTCCTTTCTACAACTCCACCACTTTTTGGTAGAAAAACAACTTTAACAAAGTCTGGCATATCTCGAACAAGTTCATTATAAAGTCTTTCTTGATCTAGTACTAAAATAGCATCTACTTCAAAAGCTTGAGCAGCATGAGTCAATAATTTGTAACCATCTCCTTTGACCCAACCACAAGTGTTTATTACAATTCCTGAAACTCTGGCTTTCTTATTAGCTTGAAGTCTATCAGAACAGACCTCTGCAAGGCGTGTCACGAGGAGATTATAAAGAGCAACATTAGCCTGTGGAGATTTATGTCCAAAGTGAAAGACTAATGGTGCTTGTTGACTGAAACCTTCAACTATATTAGATGGACGTTCCACTAATAATGCTCCAACAGTACCAGGTATCGCTATATGTCCTTGGCCAACATCTAAATCTACAAAAATGGGCCTGCGACCCATTCTAACTGCGTAGTTCAATAATAACCTACAAAGTGTAGATTTTCCAACATCACAAGGACCTACAACCATAGTTATTGGACCCCTGGTATCATCTTTCTCTGCAGTTTCCCTAAGTCTTTCCATTGCTGCATGACAATTTAAATAAAGACCCATTGGAGTCTCTTTGGCAACATAACTAACATCAGTTTTTCCAACCAACTCTACCGTACAACCCTGCCAAGTAAAGACTGCAACCTTAGCTCCAGCGCTAAATTCATATTTCTTTCCTTTTACTAATTCAGTGCCAAATACTTCTGCTAAACCAGTTTTCAACTGCAAGAAAATGAGTAGATGATTATATACTACAAAACAAGTAAATAGTTATTAAGATACAGAAAGAATAAAACGAATGTAAATTATATGAAATTAAAAAAGTCATTTTAATACTTGCCTCAACTGTAACCTTTTCATTTTTTGTCTCAACTTCGAATCTTAATTCACAATCTGGATCTAATTTAAACTCTTGCGTTTGTGTTTTCTCGTCTGTCATTTTAAGAATATTATATATTCTTGTCACATGCCTGTTTAAAAAATATACTAACAGTATGTTTACTCTGTTTATATAGCGAATTTTAACCTCTCTTAGTCATTCGACGAGAGGGTTACGCATCAAATGACAAATTCTTGTTTATTCTGCGCATATCAGCTATGATTGGTCGAGCAGTGTCGAGCTTGCTCGTAACCAAGAGTAACACACATGCGCTATTCGGACATTCTTTATTCAAAATTTTGTACGATCATACAAAAAAGTACTGTAAAACATTACGATCAAAAAATGGATAACTTTTTATCTAACACACCAGAGATACTTCACTTCGAGAAAAAGTTTTGCGAAATAATTTACGAGATTCAACGGTGCAGGGTAGAATATTTGCAAATTTTTGAATTCATCTTTAAGATAAACGTGATACCACAATATTTTTCCAGAGAGAGTTAGATAAATTAGAGAAGGACCATTTGTTAGTACGCGAAGAGCTATGCTCGAAGGACGCACTTTTGCAGAATGAACGAAAAACATCGAACGAATTACGAATTCGATTGAAATCAGCAGCAGAGACGATCAGTTCTTTAGAAGAAGAGAAAATGCGTGATAAAATTTATTATTCGAATCTGTCGATGAATCACGACAGCTTGCTGAAAGAACGTGACATTTTGTCTAAGGAAATTCTGTCAAGTCAAACGGAAGCTGCGAAGTCCAAAATTAAAATAGAGAGTTTAGAGAATACGCTTCAGCGGGAAATACATCGGAAAGAGGTGTTAGAAAAGGCGTTAATAGAATTGAAGAATGACAATGAAAAAATTATAGCAGGCATTGATATGTAAAAAAATTTATATATTTTTTTAAGACGCTTTGAAAATTGACATGTTTTAATATTAAATATTCGTAATCACTTTTTATTTGTTTTAGAAATATCACTAAACTTTCGAAAGAACAGAAATACTTGACAGAGAGTGCAAAGGTTGTAATTCAGTTAAATAAACGATTGCAAACGTTCGGTCTCTGCTTTCATGCGATTCATGAAAAAAACAGAAACGAGATAAAGGATTTACAGCATAAATTAGCAGCGTTTTCAATGAACGATTCAATGCAATCAGCTAATCACACCAAATTACATCCAGAATTAGATAATTTATGTTTCAAGGTACAGTATTGAGATTATGTTAATTACAAAATTGTTATGTATGGTTTATTTCTTGTAGTTGAAAGATACATTGATGGAGCTAAAATCAAGAATGCAGGATTCCGTAACATTTGAAGAAAAATTGAACAAGTTCTTTGAAGAATTTTTTTGCAGATACAACAACGAATATTAAAAATCGACAGTAATCAATAATTAATTGAAGCAGTTCGATGATTGTTATCAACATTTATTTTTATTTTCGATACATCTAACAAATATTTCGACTCGACGAAATAAAATTACATTGTTTATAAAATGTTTAAAAAAATTATTAATAATTTTGTATATACAGCATCATCCAGTTTTTGCGACAAGATTATAGGAAAGTAACAACTATTATTTCGTTGCATTTTTCTTGAATTTATTTTTCTATAAATTAAAGTCGACAGTTTAATCGTATGCGATTTATAGCTTCAGCTTAAATGTAAAAAACATTCGTTTAAAAAAATTACGCATCTTCTTCAGGCGCATATTTACCTAGTTTAAAAGATCATTAATCAGTTGCTAATATTGGCGTTAGTAGTTATAAATAATATATGAATAAAACATTAATAGAATTATAACATTAATTGAGTCTAACTGATAACATGTATGATGACGATAATGAAAATCACAATACAACTTGGTCGTTCGACATTAAGGAAAGGCGGGTTTCAACAATAAAAATAGACGAATAGGATTAATATAAAATGTATTATAATAATCATATAATTAAGTGTAAGTGGAAACGGATCGGAATCCCTTTTCCTCGTTCACAAAAAAAGAGAACCCTCCGTTTCTTAAAAAAAAAAAAAAAAAAATGAACTATTACAACAAGCGTTTCAAACGAAGACGAAGTCCGCTTTCCATCTCTTTACTTGAATTACTTCAACTTCATAAAAAGAAAAAGAAGTTAGAGAAAATTCGAAAGAGTCTTTTCTTCAAGTCCTGAATTTGCGCTAATTAATCGATGAATTAATTAATGAAGAATTCCTCTTCGATCCGGTGAAAAAGCTAACTTGACGATGTGTATATATATATTTATATATTTATTTATATATTTATATATAAAAAATGACCGCCCATTGTTTACCTATCCGCACCCCCCCTTCTTTTTTTTCTTATAAACAAATACCTCTGAAATGCTCGAAGAAAGGAGAAACTTCTCGTTTGACGATCGGAGAAATTTTTTCTTTCTTTTCGTTTCATTCGTGTGTTTAAATAAAGTGGATGTAAACTCGTGTTAAAAATCGATCGTACCCCTTGATTAACTGAAACATGGAGGAGAAACTTCATGCGTGATATACGAAATAAATAAATTCTGCGTTTCTTAATTTGCTGCACTACAATGCTTAATTAAAATACTTAACATACGAATTTCTAAAATATATATGAAATCCGGGATGGTTTTCTGAATACGTTAAACAAATGGAACCAAATTTTATATATAACTCATGCATAGAACAATTTAGTTATTGCTTTTATAAGTATTCAACTTTAAGTCAATTATTGCTTTATTCTTGTCTTGTTTATTTTACGAACGAAATAATAATACAGCAAAGACTACAATAATGTTTCGCTAAGAATCGCACATTTATTGGATGTACAATTCCCAATTGATTTTACGAAGAAATCGTTCAAAGTCAGTGATTTAAATTCTATATTGCTTGTCAATTATTGAAGAGAAAAACAAAAGAATTAAAATCACCTTCAACTCATATAAGATAAGCGTTCTAAAAACAGCTCAGTACATTGCACTCCGGTACTTTAACAAGTGAAACTTGTAAGGAAACGACATTACGATGATATCTTCGAGGCAGCGTGTTGAAATTGCTCGAAAATTGTTAAAAAATTATCAAAAATTATCACAATTCGTAATCGTTTCCTTCAAGAACTCTTAAATGTCTTTTTAAGAGAGGAAAGAGAGTTTCTCCTCCAAGATAAAAAGAGTTCCTATGAATGATCAGTAAAAAAGAGAGACCGGCAGCGATGAAGGGAAACGAAGGTGGCCGTCAAGGAGTAAAATCACAGAAGTACTCGCATCATGAAGCGAGCCAAGGAGACCGAAGGTAAAGTAGAGTAGAGGGTGACGGTCGAGGATATGCTGACTGAGGGGTCAGAGTATAGAGCATCGTGCGAGCCAACTTGGTGGCTTCCTCTGTGGTTCGGATGCTTTCAACTGATGTCCTCCTCCCTTCGGTGGATTCGACGCCTCCTGTTTCAAAATACAATAATCGTCAATAATTGTATTTACATATATATTTATATATATCAACTAATACACCCAAACTAAGATTCATACTCTTTCAATAATCTTAACAATATTGATTATGATAATAATTTTCATTATTTATCACCCTTCAAACATTTGAATGTTTTATATTAATAAGATTTTTTGAGAAAACATGCAATGCAATTTAACATTTTATATATAAGAAAGAATTTATTTAATGGGAGCTGAATGTTAGTGATAGTAAATTTGTTAATACAAGGTCAAAAGCATACACAAATGTTAAAAAACACTTGTGGTACATTCATGGGACAAATGTGTGCACGAATACATACATGTGCAAGCTATTACACATACAAGACAAACGAAAACAGTTAGTACAATATTATTTCAGCTAACAAGAAAAAAGGAAACACTAATACAAATGCTGTATTAAGTTTGTTTAATCAATCATGATATTTTAAAATATTTTTAACCTTAAACTTGGTTACAAATTGAAATGCAATTACCGTTTATTACATTTCTTTAGAAGATATCTTTCACTGATTGATAATAAAGTAACAATTGATCACAATGGAGAAATTGTTTAACATTAAGGTAAAAATAATTAAGATATGTGTTCATGCAAAAAAAGTACATATATAGAGAGAGGAGGAGTTACCTTCTGCCGAGACAGACCCGCACCAAACACAGAGAAACAGATACAGGAAACAGAGAAATCATGGTTAATTGACATGAAACTATTTACTAAAATAAATTTGTGAAAGCAACTAAGTTATGTCTAAACAAATATCAGTCCTAATTCCTTTGACAAATTATGAAATAAAATTCCAGAGCACCACTGAAAAAGACTAATATTACAGTATAATTTTTGGTGTTTTATAAATATTAACTAAAATGTGTATTAAATTTTTCCATTGAAGTAAAATTGAAGTAGTAAATACACAGCTGCAATTTAAAAGCATTTTTGTTTTTCTTTATGAACAATAATTAAGTAAAAATGGAAGAACAACATACTGAAAAGCAATATTTACCAGTTTCTTTTCCATTTTGGCCTTAATGTCTCTTGCAAGAGTATAAAATGCCTCCTCAACATTGATGCTAGACTTAGCTGAAGTTTCCATGAATTTGATTCCATATTCAACAGCAAGTTGCTCTCCCCGTTCTTTTGAAACTTGCCGCTTTTCTGTGAGCTCACACTTATTGCCCAATAGCATTTTCTCAACATCCGCCGAAGCATTTTCTTCAATGTTTCTAATCCAATTTTTTATATTCTCGAAACTCTTTTCGTTGGTTACATCATAAACTAACATTATACCCATTGCACCACGATAATATGCTGTAGTTATTGTACGAAACCTTTCTTGTCCTGCCGTATCCCTTTAAAATATAATAAACCAATTTTGTTCAAACAAATGTGTCAAAAATACATTTCATTTGGAGAAAAGAGAAGAAGGTACTAAAAGGAAACTGAAATTATCTATGTATAAATGATTTTTATTATTCATCATTTACCATTTTATATTTGTTTCAAAGCTACAAGAACTAAAATTAAAATGTATTTCTCATAAATAGCTGATTAAAAATTATAAAATTGCTCAAAAGTGCTTAATTTTGTTAAAAATAATTAAAAAGATTTTTTGATACTTACCATATTTGTAGTTTTATTTTCTTGCCATCTAATTCTATTGTTCTTATCTTAAAATCAATTCCTGAAAATAATAAATGAGTTTACAGTATATATATTCTGTAATGTGTTCTCTATGTGATAAAATCATTATATGTTTCCACTCCGTACAGTTTATTAAGAATCTATTACAATCGTTTGATTAAACAATTCTGTGAAAAGCTAACACTTAATATTAGACCTTTGACATTTGCAAGTTTTGCAGTATATAAGTCAGATGATGATTAATGTTATTTATTCAATGTACGGTAAAAAAATGTCACTTATATAACATGTAGTGATTTTTACACGATTCTTTTTATATAAAAAAAAAACAGACAGGTGTTTATAGTATAATATTCTTCATTACTCTGTACTTGTAATGCACGAATACATACAAACATAATATTTTTTAACAAGAATGATAGGTATTTGTTTATTGACATGTTTCAATAAATAAGAAAGAATACTATAACATAAATACTGAAATCATTGCAATGTAATACATATTTATTAATTTACAGAAATTGTACTATATTTCATAACAATTTAATGGTTCAATTATTTAAATATACTCGAGTAATCTTCGTGTATGAACCAATTAAATTTTTTCTTTCTAAGAGAAGATTGGTCGAGATATAATTGCTCCATATTTTTCAAATCAAAGGTCTCATTCAAAGACATACCATTAATATGTAATTAGTCTTTCATTCCTGTATTATGATTACATAAATAATCTAAGATTACATTAAAAGTATTATTATGCAGCTTCAAAATGTTCCTTAAGCAGCTCCTAATCAAGGATAAGTGAGTAAAGGGATAAAAAGGAAGAAAATCGGTGGAAAAAAGGAAATAAAAAGGAAATACTTACCAATGGTCGAGATGAAGGTCGTATTGAAAGCATCCTCAGAGAACCTGAAGAGGACGCACGTCTTGCCGACCCCTGAGTCACCAATCAGCAACAACTTGAACAAATAATCATATGTCTTCGCCATGCCCTTTGTTTTCAGTCTCTCTCTCTATTTCACGTGATTCCCTTTGCACTTCTATTTTTTATATTTCTTTATCCTTCTAGCTCTCTTCCACGATCTTTTTCAAGTGATCGTGATCCTTGGAATTCCGATGACGCACCCTTTGAACTTAAACAAGCACGCTTCGTTCTACGCTTTTCAATTATCGAAACGAGATTGAATTCGCAGAAAGCTCGAGGAAAGGCTTAATTGCTGAAATCTGTTCGGATAGGACAAAACTCACGTAATAGATCACGTAAAAACATCTGTCAGAAAAAGCGATGACAGCCATCGGTAAGTACAACTTTTTCTCTGGTGTTGTGGCCAGCCTTCTGACCGCACCACAGGTGATGCGCGCGTGTGTATACGCATACGCAACACGTGTGTCAAGAATATGGTGCATTTTCACACGAAGAAATATATTACGGCGTATTTGTATTAACTTAATAATCATTGCGATGATAAAACAAATTTTGATGATGGAATTATATCTATACAATTATATTACTTCTTCTTAAGTCCATTCAGTACATTAATTATATCCCAACACAAATTTTAATCATTGTGCATAAAAAGACTCGACCCTTGCAATGTTTTCTTACATATATCTTGTATTTTATTATCCATAATCATTTTTTCCTATTAATATTCTATCGCATCAAATTTATATCATAATGATTCATCTTTGTAGATGAGATAATTCGCCTGTAGGAAAACACCAATACAAATACAAGTTTTCAATTCTAGTCCACGTGTGACGCCACATGCATTTGACTTAAAGCTGTGAGTATATAGGATTGCAAATAATATCATAACATTTTGGATAAAATGCCTGCGATTAAAAGTAAAAAGCGTAAAGTATCAAAAAAGACAAAAAAGGCATGGCGAAAACATGTTGACACAAAGGATGTTGACAAATTTTTGGAGGACTCGAGATTAGAGGAGAGGTTAGGTGGTTCGTTTGCTGCACGCAAAGATTCTGAACTGTTTGTAATCTCTACAGAACCGGAGGTTCTTCCTAAAAAAACACGCCGAGAATTATTGAAATCAAAGGAACCACGATGTTTCAATATTTTGAAACCTCATACAGCTGTACCAGATCCAATAACAAAAAGAAATCGTGTAAGAACGAAAGAAGAAAGAAAAAATGCACTGGTTCTACGAAAGGAAGCCTATAGGAAGGCGCAAGGAATAGTAAAATTGAAAGACAGAATAAGGTTGAAGAATCAGATGTTAGCTATGAAGAAAAGATTAAGCAAACCTAAAAGAGGTGAGTTTAACGTTGATGTTTGGAAAGACAAGTTGGAGAAACAACTTGGAATTGATACCGAATGGATGTCTCCGGATACTCTCAGGCATACATTGACTCATTTTGGGATGAAGAAAAAGAGAATACCAACTTCTTTACGCAAAAAACCATCTGTATTACCAGCAATTGAACCACCTCATCCAGGAACTTCTTATAATCCTTCGTATGAAGATCATCAAAATTTGTTACAAGAAGTAGCACAGAAGGAAATGGAATTAATAAAGCAAGAAGAACATTTAGACAGAGTGACTACAAAAATGTTTAGAAAGGTATTTCATTTATAAATTTGTATATGGTTTACATATGGAATTTTTGATATATTAAAATTTTGATATAGGTTTCACCTGAAGAAAGAGAAGAAAATGCGCTAAAAGACATGTTGGAAGGTTTGAAACCAGAAGAAAATAATGATTCTGACAAAGATGATGACCCAACAGTAAAATCTGTAAATCCACCTGTTAGAAATGAAAAAAAGACACGTGTTCAGAGACGTAAACAGAAAGAGCAAAAAGCACTAGCATATAAGAAACAGCAAGAAAAATTAGAAAAGAAGAAAGTTTCAGATATATATAAATTAAGATTATTTAACAAACAGTTAGCTTCAAAAGAAAGAAAGGAAAAAGTACAAAAGGAACGGAAATTAAAAAAGAAAGCACTAAAGGCACTGGGTCCAAAAACTCTTAGCAAAGTTAAATTTGAACCCTTGGAAACTGATTTCAAACTGGCTACTGAATTAACTGGAAATTTACGTAATGCTGAACCAATAACTAATCTTTTGCAAGATAGATTTAAGTCTCTTCAACAGAGAAATATTATTGCTCCTGCTAAGCTTAAACTGTAAGTATAATTACATAAATTTATATATTTCATTTATCTAGTTATAAACTGTATTGGTAATATTGTTTATTTAATATTGTAGGAACCGAGATAAGGCGAAAGTAAAACGCTATATTAAACCAGATCACAAAATCGATATGTCTAAAATCAAGTTGGGAGATAATAAAGTATAAGTTGAGTGTAATTAACTCAAAGTCATGTACAGAACATTAATTCTATTACAAAATATGTAGTACTTACATATATATGCATTATGTTAATAAATACTAAGAATTTTTTGCAGAATTTAGTATATTACATATTTATAAAAAATAAAATTTGTTAAGACAAAATGTATATTATAAGTATGTTAAGAAATGAAATATGTTTTATCAGTAAATAATAGAATTAAAAATATATATTTAGATAAGTTTGTAAGGCCAGCTGTTTTAAAATAAAATTTGCATATAACTTATTCTTCAATACTAGATATAGATTCAGCTTCTATATATTCTTCACTTTCAGATGATTTGTAATCTTTTAAATCATCTTTTAAATCGTCTTGTAAATCAAAAGATAATGTACGTTCTGAAATATGTTTTGATAGCTGTTCTTCAATGTCAATACTTTCAATCGATATTTCTTTTGGTTCATCCAAATCCATAGTAAATTTCATCTGATAATTAAACATATAAAAATTAAACATAATTATAAAACCTTTGTATCTTAATGATACAACGAAATTATTTATGCATGTACTTTATCTGAAATTTCATCTTTCTCTTCAGATTCCGTAATTACATCAAAATCAGTAATACCTTCCAGATCTTTTGTAAGAAATCCCATAACTCCTGGTATGGTCTCAACCCTTGTTTTATTACACATACGAAGTTAAAAATATTTCTGAACAAGTTAGGTACTTTTTACTAATACTTACGATTTAATAATGTTACATTGAACTTTAGAATGCCCTGTGATGAATATATTTCTTAGGAACAAAAGTAACTGAACACAATTCAACTGTGCTATATCAGGATACTTATCAGGACACTATAAGATAATTGTTTATATTTATATTACTATCTGATTTGAAATAGTTCTTAGAATTGAAACCTTTGTATAACTTGTTCTTCTTAAAATATAATGGTCTAAAAATACCTTGAGTAAACATTTTACAATATACTTCAGATCATAAAGTGTCTCAATGATTGCCTTTATCTTACAATTTAATTTTCTGTTTAAATATTTTGCAGTGCCTATTCTTGCTCTCTCTTTTTCAAGCATAACAGTTAATTTTGATAATCGAAGATTTACTATATCTTCTTCATAGCGGGCATTTTCAATTGATGTAAGATATTTGTTTTCCATTGCAAGATCAGGGATAGTGACTGATGAAAAATGCTCTTTTGTGTTCTCAAATTTTTTTTTTAAACATTTCAATACAGCATTCTGTATTTTTGCAGTCACTATGTTTTGTCTTACATATGAAGACTTTTTAACACTTTTTTTCTTGTGGTCTACAGACGAACTTCTACATAATTTTGTTAAAAGTAATTTTATATTGAATAAAATTAATATGATTAAAAATATAAAATATGAAACACGTAAAATATTACTTGAGAAAAGATTCAATGTTTTTTTGCAATGAAACTTGTTTTGAAATTTGCCATAATTCATTTTTCAGCATGATATTTTCTCGCATTAATCTCTTGTTTGGTAAACTTATATGTTTATCAGTTTGTACTTGAAATTGTGCTGCTAAATCAAGAAGGCAATTGTACATTTCATTTCTGAGCCTGAATTAGAAAAATTTATAAATAATCTTTTTTATAGTCAGTATAAATAAACTTTTAATTAAACACATAGTGAGTAACAATTTAATACATTTCTTTATCAAATTCAAACTTTCGACTAACTATCTCAAGTAATTCTTTCACCCTTTCCTCATTCTCTATCATTTGTTTTTCATTTAATTCAAATTTGTCTTCTAAACCATGTTGTGTCTTTTTAAAATCTTCTAAACCATTAATTTTAGCAGCTAGAACAGTAATTAATCTTCATGAAATTAAAACAGAAGAAAATGAAAGGAGACTAGAGATCAAATGATACAAAAAAAGAGATATACATTACTTAAAACTTTGTTCTGAGAAGTTAATTCAATCTTCTTCTTTTCATATCGCTCATTTAATGATTCTACTCTATCATTATGTAATTGTTTCTCTTTTATTCTGCTATCTTCCACATTATGGATCTTAGCTTTTAAATCTTCTACTCTAGCATCTTGAGCATAAAATTGTTTGCTTAGATTTGTAATTTCATCAGCTGTTTCTGCATCTACAGTGGCTGAAGATTCCTCTGTAACTTCAATTTCTTCTAATAATTCTTCATTTCGATCTTCTAATCTAAATATCAACTTAAAGATTTTTAAAAATTTCACAGAAAAGATGTTTTCAAATTCATATAGACTAAAATAAATTAAAATAGATCATTTTTATTGATAGTTCACTGCTACAATGTAATTTTATTTTTAACCTCTTTATTCTATTTTCAATGTCTTCAATTTTAATTTCATAGAAGGCTCTTTGCGTATTGATAATTGTAGGTTTACTCTGCTCTTTATCATCATCCCATGACTGTAGATTGACTGACAACGATATATTTCCCTTATCCTTCCCTAATAAATCGACCATGTTTTTGCTTATGCAAACAATTAATACAGGAAATAAAAATATTCTAATTTTTTTATACCGACGTCACTATATTCCCTAATATCTGTAATGTCTAAATGACATTCAATTATTTTTGTTCTACCTTTAAATCTAATCTAACCTAACCTAACTTCAAACAAGAGTAATTGAATTTCAATGATAAAATTACATATCAATTAGGTTAGGTTAGACTGGTTTGAAGTTTAAACGAGTCTAATCCAAATAATAAGTTTACGTGTTATGTTCTACATTAATTACTCTTTTTAAATAATGAGATTGATAAGATATTATTGATAACATTTCAATGTTATCGATATTTCTCGATAATGTTATCAATATCGGCGCCTTCAAATACAAAGTAATTCATATGTAGGTTATGTTACCGAGCGATAATAAATTCATAGGCATAAATTTTTAAATTACCATTTAATATCATTGATTGAGTTTAACCTATTTAAATTTGCGGTATCGACTATTTAATTTTAAAGGAATATAACCAATATTTCTATAATTTGAAGCTAACTTCAGTTACAGAACACACAAGTTCAACACGCAAGTTCTTTGGAGCAAACATAATCGTGAAACAGCTGATCTGTCGATTGTTAAATGTGTAGTGTACTTTGCTGTTTGGCAGTTACAGAAAATTACAGAACATTATCCATTTGGCATGTAAAAATTAATATTTCCAAAAATAATTATAAGGAATCATTTGCGTGATAACTGAAGATGTACGTTGACGTGTCTCAATGACGTAATTTTGTCTTTATGGCACGAAAAGCCAAATTCTTTGGAAATATACTTTAAGATGAATTCAAGAACATTCTTATCGAGCTGTTCAAGCTAAAAGTAAGAAAACGTGTATTTTTTCCTTTTGATATCATTCTTTTTTGTGTATAGTGTCTGTAGAAATTTAGGTTAGAAGCGGAACATCGTAGCGTTTTCCTTACGTTGTTGTAAGTTCGGGATATTCATACGTTAAACATATTTTTAAAGTTATTTTGTTTCGTCGGTGCATTTATGTGATTAACATTTTAATTTATACAGTAAGAAATCGAGTTTATAATACAGCTTCTTTGTAATGTATTTTCAGTCCTTATAAACAAAAATTTGTTGTACATTGAGAGTGTAAATATTATTATAGAATTTTGTTTTTGTTTTCAACAGTAGGACCACTGATTTTATGAGTTTATTAAAAATATATGGTTTATTTATTAAAAGCAAACAATAAAGGACTAAAGACACTAAAATAATATTTTTGTTTAGTCAGTTCATAAAGAGACGTACAGTCAAAGTACAGATTAAAACATGAAGCTAAGAAAGGAGCTGGTTTTACTTTTTCTTGTTATGTCCGTTTCTTCTCAATCAGAAGTTTCTAAAAAACAATCTGATACTTCTGATGATGAAGCTGAAGAAGATGTTAGTTTGGAAGAGAAAGCATTTGAACGGTTGCAAGAATTAAAGGCTCTACATGATACTATTTTAAAGATGGTACCAGCTTCTGAATTATATCTTAATGATAAAATTACAAAGAAAAAAGAAGAAACAGAAAGTGAACCAAAAACAAAAGAGGAAAGTTCTGCAATGAGAAATGTTTGGATGAAAGCAATGATAACTCAAATAAAAAATATTGATTTGCCAAATAATAATTTAAGAATTGAAGAAGATGATGCAGAAGTGTGGAGTGAAGAAGAACAGCTTGAACCACTTAATGAAGAGACTGAAGAACCACTTACTCCGGAGCAACAAGAAGGTATTTTGAATGAATCATTTTGTAATTATAAGTATAGGTACTTAAACTGGTTTTATAAGTAAATAACATAAACTCCATAATAATTTTAGCGGAACAAATATTTAGAAAGGCACAGAGTCTCTTAAATGCTACACGTTCTAATAAGGCAGAAGCTTATGAACTATTAGCATCTGCTGCAATTCTTGGGCATCGTGAATCTAGGTCAATGTTGGCATGGGCACAACTATTAGGAACTCAATTTGCTCCAACTTTTTCATGGATATCCAGTCCAGATATTCCAGCAGCTTATCAAACATTTAAAGAACTTGCTGAAACTGGTCTACCATCTGCTCATATGGTGCATGATTTTGAAATTATCTTGGAATACAAAATAATTCCTTAATTTTATTTATTATCATTCAAACATAAACTAATTATAACGTTTGCAGGGTATGGGCTTTTTGTATGCAACAGGATTAGGTGGTGTGAATGCCTCACAGCCAAAGGCACTCCTGCATTACACGGTAGCAGCTCTCGGTGGAGACACGCGGGCACAAATGGCTTTGGGTTATCGTCATTGGGCCGGAGTCACAACACCAGCTTCTTGTGAAAGAGCATTAGATTTTTATCGCGAAGTAGCAAACAAGGTTGCGGAAGAAGTTTCCCTTAGCGGAGGACCAGTTGTTCAAAGAGTCAGACTCTTAGATGAACAGGAGAATCCAGGATACAGCTCAGGAATCTTTGATCAAGATCTAATAGAATATTATCAATTGTTAGCAAAGAAAGGAGATACTCAAGCTCAAGTTGGATTGGGACAGTTACACTATCAGGGTGGAAGAGGTGTTCCTTTGGATCATGAAAGAGCATTGCAATATTTTCAGCATGCTGCTGATGCTGGAAATGCTATTGCCATGGCTTTTCTAGGAAAGGTGATTAAACTCCTAGATTTAAAACTTAAGAATTAATTCGAAACGAATGTAAACTTAGTATTACATTTTTTCCATAGATTTACTTAGAAGGTAGTGATATAGTGAAGCAAGATAACGAAACAGCATATAAGTACTTCAAAAAAGCTGCAGAATTAGGAAATCCTGTCGGACAAAGTGGTTTAGGTCTTATGTATCTTTATGGGAGAGGGGTTGAAAGAGATACTGCAAAAGCTCTTCAATATTTTAATGAAGCTGCGGAGCAGGGCTGGGTGGATGGACAACTGCAACTTGGCAATATGTATTTTAGTAAGATTGACAATTACTTGAATCACTAAATAATTGTACAACAAATTCGGTAATTTAGAAAATGTTGTAATGAAATAATTACTTTGTAGGTGGAACTGGAGTAAGGCGTGATTACAAGTTAGCTAACAAGTACTTCAACTTAGCCAGCCAGTCTGGTCATGTTCTAGCATTTTATAACTTGGCGCAGATGCACGCTACTGGTACAGGCATGATGCGCAGCTGTCCAACCGCTGTTGAACTTTTAAAAAATGTTGCTGAAAGGGGCAAATGGAGTGATCAACTAATGGTTGCTCATACAGATTATCGGGAAGGTAGAATTAATGAGGCTTTTGTCAAGTATGCTCTCCTTGCAGAAATGGGTTACGAAGTAGCACAGAGCAACGCTGCTTTTATATTAGATAAAGGAGAGACCACAATATTATCAGAAGAAGAAGGATTGGTTAGAGCACTTGCTTTGTGGGCTAGAGCTGCTGCACAAGGATATTCTGCTGCTCAGGTATGGTTAATAATTATACTTATTGAAAATATACTACGTTAAATATTAATGGTTTCTAATAAAAATTGTTTGGGTAACAGGTGAAATTAGGAGATGCTCATTATTATGGTCGTGGAACAAAAGTTGATTACGAAGCTGCAGCTAGTCATTATCGATCAGCTTTTAGTCAACAACATAATGCACAAGCAATGTTTAATTTGGGATACATGCATGAACGTGGTTTAGGTCTAGCAAGAGATCGACATCTGGCCAAACGATGCTATGATCTTGCAGCAGAAACTAGCGCGGACGCAAGAATTCCTGTAGCGTTGGCTCTCATTAAACTCTCTTTCCTGTTCGGTTTGGATTATCTTCAAGAGTTTAGCCTTATTGACCATTTAAATAAATGGGACCAGCTTTTTGGCCAGAACTGGGACTTATACCTCATCGGACTGCTCACTGGCATGCTCAGTTTAATTATTTACTTCCGCAGGCCCCAACCACCACCTCCGCCTAGGATTAATTAGTTCTCTACCATTTTTGTTTGAATATTTTTTTCTTCTTTCAAGTGAAGTCAAGTTTGTTACTGATGGTTCATAAATACATGCACCTGTGTGCATATTGATACGTTGTTTTCATTGAACCACCTTATTTGCACAAAGTCATCGAAAACTCTAAGAACATTGAAACTTTTGTAGTTTTCAAATTCCTGTGGTGTCTAAGCGCGGACGCTTACGCACAACGTATAGTTCACTTAATTAACTGTTTATTTATGGAATTCGAAATTGTCCAATTTATTAATATTTAAGTTACATTTTAGAATTGTACATAATATATTAAATTATAAATCTTTCTAAAAATCTTAAGCGTATTACACTAATGAAAATATTCACATTCCACGGAATTAAAACTGCTGAATCCTTTATACCTATCATTTCTTTCATTTGCAAAAACTGCTACAGTTTATGTATTATGAAATATTTATACTTTAATTTGTGATAGATTTTTAAGTTTGATGTGTATATGTATGTATACTTTGAAAAAATATATTAATGTAATACAGAATTATGAGAAGACATTTTTGGTGCTTAACATAAAATTTAGGAGGAAAATCTCCTTTTTTCAAATGATTTTGAAAAAACCATTTGTGGGTTTTTGGCCAATGTTTTCTATATTACCGACAAGACACAGTATAGTGTGCAGACAGTTCTGAACACATGATTCACATCTTCGGACCCACGGAATATATTGTAAACAGCATAAAATCAATATTAATAAATATATAGCGTTTTAATCAATAAAACCAATATTAATTGAACTTCTAAAAAAAAAAAAGAAAGGAACAAGTGGCGCCATCTCTCCTGCGAACAGGGTGAACTACACACTTTTGAAACCGCACTTTAATTAGTTCCATTTTTCTACCGCTAGATGGCGGCACAAGCACCATAAAACCTTAGGTTGATTAGAATTAGCCTAAGATAAAAAAGAATAATTTTCAATGCTAGTAGTTTCGCTGTTCACTACTAGATGGAGTGAACATTGTAGTTTTCAAATTGCGCGTTCTTTTAAGCCGAATGTCGCACATTATTTTCTGCTTTGATTAACTTTTACACGACATGATTAATTGATTGATAAATGGGTTTATAAATTACTTAATACAACAATTAAACAATTTGAAACGCAGTGAGCATGTAGTGCTTTCTAAGTGACATAATTGCTTCAAGTTAATTGTGCAAATAACGTGATCTTAATGCTAAATACGAAAATGGAAATATAGCTGGATGCAACGCGTGTACGCGAATAGTGAAACAAGGAAGAGGAGGACCTAATCGAGTGAAAGCTAAGGTCATAAGGCCAATAAACGTTCCCGGACGAGCCGATAAGCTGCATAATAGCAAAATACCAATTGCGTTTCACTACTTTCCTTTTTCTTACCTAGTATCTGAATACTACGTACACCGTGGTATCACGTGTAACCGATCGTGCATGGACGTCGAACGGTTCAATTGAATTAAAGAGTCAATTATGTAGTCTATGACGCTGGTTTCCGACGGAAGTCATCAGTTCAATGCAAATTACAACCATCACACAAAGTATCAAAAACATCTGTAACTTGAATAAAAAAATTTCCTTGTACAATTGCACATTTAATTGGAATAATTTATTCCCGATGTTTGAATCGATGTTAGAGAAACTTAGATGTACAACGAAGATAACTGTCAATTAAATCTGATGGAAGAGCAAATTCATTTAAGGAGTTCAGTAATTATTACTCATTGTATTTAATCATCATTAGTAACCGAGATATAGTTGTTAACGAATAAAATGATTCCTTAATTTTAGTAACACACTTCCCACGGATATTTGTAGTCGGCTCGCCGTTATAATTAATGTTATACATTGTACGGCCATTTTGAACTATACAAATTCCGCTAGATGGCGGCACAAGCACCATAAAACCTTAGGTTGATTAGAATTAGCCTAAGATAAAAAAGAATAATTTTCAATGCTAGTAGTTTCGCTGTTCACTACTAGATGGAGTGAACATTGTAGTTTTCAAATTGCGCGTTCTTTTAAGCCGAATGTCGCACATTATTTTCTGCTTTGATTAACTTTTACACGACATGATTAATTGATTGATAAATGGGTTTATAAATTACTTAATACAACAATTAAACAATTTGAAACGCAGTGAGCATGTAGTGCTTTCTAAGTGACATAATTGCTTCAAGTTAATTGTGCAAATAACGTGATCTTAATGCTAAATACGAAAATGGAAATATAGCTGGATGCAACGCGTGTACGCGAATAGTGAAACAAGGAAGAGGAGGACCTAATCGAGTGAAAGCTAAGGTCATAAGGCCAATAAACGTTCCCGGACGAGCCGATAAGCTGCATAATAGCAAAATACCAATTGCGTTTCACTACTTTCCTTTTTCTTACCTAGTATCTGAATACTACGTACACCGTGGTATCACGTGTAACCGATCGTGCATGGACGTCGAACGGTTCAATTGAATTAAAGAGTCAATTATGTAGTCTATGACGCTGGTTTCCGACGGAAGTCATCAGTTCAATGCAAATTACAACCATCACACAAAGTATCAAAAACATCTGTAACTTGAATAAAAAAATTTCCTTGTACAATTGCACATTTAATTGGAATAATTTATTCCCGATGTTTGAATCGATGTTAGAGAAACTTAGATGTACAACGAAGATAACTGTCAATTAAATCTGATGGAAGAGCAAATTCATTTAAGGAGTTCAGTAATTATTACTCATTGTATTTAATCATCATTAGTAACCGAGATATAGTTGTTAACGAATAAAATGATTCCTTAATTTTAGTAACACACTTCCCACGGATATTTGTAGTCGGCTCGCCGTTATAATTAATGTTATACATTGTACGGCCATTTTGAACTATACAAATTAAAGGTTATATCAATTTTACAATTTCATGTTTTTACAATTTAATAATTTAATAAAACTGTGTTTAGACAAAAGAAGAAAATTATGTAACGAATAAACGATGGGTAATGGAACAAAAGTGGTGACTGAAGGAATTGACGTTCGACAATAAAGGTTCTGATACACACTTTTACTTGCGCAAGCGGCTGTTAAAATTTTAATACCCGTATTACGGAATAATGAGCACGGTAAGGTAATGAAGATAAAGTGTAACATTATCGTTTCGACATTACTCTCCATTACTTACTTCATTAACCAAAGATAAAAGATATAAACGCATGCAATTTAAAATGTAAATTGCATGCTAAAGAAAGTTGATCGAATTTTTTTAGCAAATTGATGCAGAGGTTTATTAATCAACCGTAACGTTCACTGTCCACAAGTTTTTACGTCTGTTTTATACCAAAAATAATCGACAGACTCCTTAGCAGTTACGAGTTTGTCTTTAGATACTTTCACTAGAAAAGATGTTCGTCTACAATTTTCGAATATTTTCAGCCGTAATTCGATTGCGTACGCGGTGTGTGACTTACGGTCACTCCCCACACGAGTCGTATTTCAAAACAAGAACGAGTGCAAGACGAGTTCGCGGAATGTGTATTATCTACAAGTATCTTCTAGAAGCAATCCTGGATGCGGCAGGAATTTCCTTCATCGACCTCGTCACACTGATTTTGCGAAATTTGGAGAGAAACAAGCGTGAAGGGAACGAGACGTAGAAGGCAACGATTCACTTCAAATTACGGTAGAACGATAAACTACAGAAATAAATTATCAACATCGAAATTTGTACAAGCAATTTCTATACAATACAAATGTGAATATTCCGCAATAATCGTCGAGTCATTTACAGAACACAATACTGTTTATCTGCAAAATTTATCGAATTTGAGGTTACGTATTTACTGGACGCTAAAAATTAGCTGTTATTAAATCTTTTTTCTAACGGCTGAAGAAAGTGTGTGCGCATCATTTGACAGGGAAAGGAAACTGCAGGAACTTTCAACATTTTTTGCTATGGATGTCTTAAACTTCAGCTTAGATTCTGCTGTGTTTCATAAACTGCAACATGAGCTGCGATAGTTGCGGAAAATTAGAACGCTACGACATTTAACATTAAGATATTGGATTTGCATAATAAACTGGTAACATTTCACGTATTCGTGCTGCTAATGGAATTGAAATTAATCGTACATTAATATAAATTAATGTATAAATATATGCAAGCTTCTGGATCCTTGTATCCTTAGGCTACTATCAATATTCCTATGTGTAGATACTTATATCTCAATTCCTCTATACTCTGTATATATCTATACCTCTGTACTTGACATAACCTCAGGTTCCTACATACAGAGATGTATCTGCATACATGTATATGCATATGTATATGTATATATCTCTATACCTAGGTTTTCTCTATATCCTAAGTGTGCTATACTCCCCTATATATTCTAGATATCTCATAAATACCCCTAGTTAATACTCCTGTTAATAAATAAGAAAGCAAATGTACAGGATTTCGCAGTGGAAAAAGAAGATCCCTAATGAATCACCAGCTTATCGAGTACAAGATAAAAAGGCGGGAACGAATCTGAATAAGAACAAGCAAGATCGAGTCCCGACATGCATACAACGAATTAATGAAATCGAAGATAAAACAGGAGAAATAAGAGTAAGAAGAAGAAGAGTAGGAGGTCGAGAGGTGAGTAAGAGTGCGTCAGACAGTATGAATCGAGGGGAAAGCGGGCACGAGTGCGTTAGCGTCGTGAAAGGAAGAAGGAGTAAACGAAAGCGGGCTCTCTCTCACGTTCTTACGCAGCTGAGAAGATGCTCTCGTAAGAAATCGTGTGTACGTAAATACGTGCGTGTGTGGCTGAGAAACCCTGGAAAACACATCGCGAAAGAGCGTAGAGGGGAGAGTTCGACGCGGGATACACCAACATCGAGGAGGGAGGAGGAAGGGAGTCGTCTGCCAGCAGGCAACTTTCACATGGTCATTGCACCACGTGAGCCTCTTTTCGGCTTCCTGTAACTCCCGAGGATCTGTACGTATCAGCGAAAAAGAAGTAAAAAGTGAGACACGAGGCGACCGGCTTCATTCAAAGGTCATTCCTCGACCTCCTTCGAAAAAATCAGAACAAATTTCGAACTGCTCTCCTTGTTCCTTCACGTTGCTTTCTCCTTTTGCCTGCGACCGATGGGAATCGGTTCCTTGATTAGATGCAGGATATTAGAGCATCGGTGAAATCGTTATTGGAGCTAACTCCATTTGGAAGGTTCGGTATCAAACCTCGTCTACTACATTATTATACTTTCCAATGTTTTTTATATTATTATAATATCATTCTAATGCAAAAATAATTTTTTAGGTTATGTAGCAGAACTCTACCTTCATTATTCTCACTAGGGAACATCTAAACACCTAGGATCTGGAGATATAGAGGGATACACCGAGGCTATATGGATCCAAGGATGTACGCATTTGAACTTACAATCCATCGCTCCTCGAAGTTCATTTACCTCGACCCATCTTGCGCCTTTTGTTCCTCTTTTTTATTATCGATTATACCTTTCACCGAAGTTTTTGCGTATCGGCAGATGACCACAAATTTAAAAGACGAGAAAAATGGGCTGGAAAGGCGGGCCCATTTATCAAATGTGCACCATCATCTTTTTTAATTGGTACACCGCAGAAGATGTTCAATCGATTCGTACATGATTTTCCGTATTACAACGAAATGGAATAATGTTAACCACTAGACTATTCGACTATTGTAACCATTTCTTTCTGAAAATGTGCACCGAATGAATCCTGTTCATATTGTACCCCTAAAAGAAACGTGACCTCGAAAGTTTCTTCCGTGTATCAATAAGATAGCATGCAACTCATCTCGTGAAACTCTCTATATAACATCGGTTGTAGATTTATCGGTGAACAGGTGCACTTTCTCTTTCACAAAGGATATCTAAGGCATCGATTACACGCCCTTAATTGGTTATCGGCTAAAGAAGGCGAACGAAAAAAGAGAAGTAACACCAGTCAGAAATATAAATTGCGAGCGTTCGGTGGCGTGGAACATGGCGTTAGAATAGTAAACTTGTTAGAGAGACGATAGTCGCGGAAAAGATTGATCGTCCGTGTAAGAGGAAGGCGTCGATTTCCGCGTCTTCTTCGGGAAAGGCGTCGTGACGCAAGCCAGAGAAACTTTCACTATTCTTTAAACAGCTACTAATCAAGATGAAGAGTCTTCCCTCTCTGTCACCGAGAAGCCACTCTCCATGAACGTCCGAGGTCGGGCTTCGTCGTCGAATCTTCGCGATTTACTTTCGTGAAAATAAGAGTTTGCCGCCGCTCCGGAAAGCAAACAAGCCTAGCCTAGTTTCAAAATTGCAAGTTTTTACACAACTATTTGCGTTGTTTATTTGAGGGTATTCGATTGCACTGTTGAATTAAAAGCTTTGCCCCATATTTTCAACTTTGTATTATAACTGTAAAAATGTAGTTAGGTAGAAATGTAGTTGTATGAGAATATAGGAGTATGAGAGTGTGAAAATGTGGAGATGTGGGAACGTTTCAGTATGAGAATAGCGATATGAAAATATTGTAACAATGATATACAAAAAGCTAGAAAACTTAAATCTTTCGTCAGCTTTGAATGCTTGAACCGTGGAAGTTTGAACGCGTTTGATACAAATCTTTCAGCAAGGTGATGCAAGCCAACATTTCGCGTAGGTGGACCTCGGAACGGGGTTTCCCACAGGGTGGTGGGTCACAACGCTTCCTAGCTTGGTAGACAGCTCCTTGCACAATAAATCGCTTACACGGTTTATCTCATCATATACAGAACTGTATGATACGAAACCATGTCCTCGGTTTCTCTTTGTTCGCGCAAATAAGCGAGTAACGCAAGGCTTGAATTGAAATGGAAATTGTTTACCCTGCTCTTAACGACATCTTGTTTTGCTCGACAAATACTTTCGAAACAACGTTTAGACCCTAACTTTGCATTCATCGTCTGGTGAAATTTAAGTGTTTGTTGCTCTTTGCTTTCTATGTTTGTATTTTTGTATTCTCTGATTCTCACATTCCCATATTTTTTGCATTCCTACTTTCTCACATTATATTTTCATATTCTCACACTCAGTCATATTTCTACGAACCTTTTGTGATTGTCTACTTTTACTCACGAAGAAAGTATTACCTAAATCCTTATCCAATAGATGTCTCCCTATTAATTTGCATAATGGAATACCAGTGTAATACAAAATGAAAGTAACTTCTCAAGACGTCTAATTAGAGATCCTGTCACATGCGATAAAGTTTGTCTACGATCATTAACGCAGACAACTAAACTAAAACCTCAATCACAAATTTATGTGCTCTATTGTATTCCAATTTTATACTCACTTTACATTCTGACACTTTCCATAACTCGAATCGACATTTATGTTTACGAAACACTGTATTAAGCAAAAATATAACCTAACCTATTCGAAGTTATACAAATCCTAACCTTACCTACTTTCTAACCTACCTAACCTTCTAACCTATTCGTGAACTCAACAAAAATTCTTTGCCTGGTCATAATTGCATAAGTGTATATGTGTATGTGTACATAAATACTATGTATAAATATATAGATATAAATATAACTATATATAAACATATAGTATTTGTTGTACATAGTGTTATAATATATAAATAGTATTATATACATAATGTATAAAGAAGGTTGTTGTACATAAGATGCGTAGAATGTGAGAGGAAGGTAGATGATTGAACGACAGACGGTATTTATGTAAAAATACATAAAAAAAGCTTTATTTCGCCACCGTTTTCTTGCAAAAAGTAACGTATAAAAAAACTTGTAATCCTAATCGTCGTCGTCGTCGTCTTGGTCATCGTTCTTCTAACCATCGTTAGAATCGCCATCATCATCATCATGATCGTGGTTATCATCGTGGTCGTCACGGTCATCCATATGATCGTGGTCGTTCTCACATAATTCTTGCTAATCGTGTAACTCCGAATCGCGAGCAGGATCCATGTCTTGCCATCGATTGGTCCCTCGATCGTGTTCCTGCTCGTCGCCGCGGTCGTCCACGTGGGATCACAGAGAGTCGCGTCCAAAAGGGACGCTGTTGAGCCGTGGCTGAAGCCGTGGCCGAAGCCGTGAATGCGTGCGTGTCGCAGAGCGTTAAGATGGGTCCGATTGTGAATGGAGGAGGAGCTGCGGGGGTTCAACGGGCATTTGTGACTAGTAAGGCCCTCCTGAAGCGCTGGGAGCACCGTACGACGAGCTGGGTCCGCTTGGCCCGCTGCCACC